TGCCATTGCTGTTGCTGTTTACGTCCCACCATCAGCTGTAGCCGCTAGCGCAAGTGACATCATCCACACTATGATCGCGGGACTACAAACCCAGCATCCCAGCGCCCTCATACTGATCAGCGGGGACTTTAATCATGTCTCTCTCTCCTCTGTCCTGACGAACTTTAAACAGTATGTGCACTGTGCTACAAGAGGGAATAAAACCCTGGACCTCCTGTATGCCAACGTGAAGGGAGCATACAGCTCTTCTTCTCTCCCCCCTCTTGGGGAATCAGACCACAACCTCATCCACCTTGAGACCACCTACAGGCCCCTGGTGAAGCAGCAGGGGGCCAACACAAGGACTTTGAAGGTTTGGTCTAAGGATACAGAGGAGGCCCTGCAGGAGTGCTTCAATGTCACAGACTGGGAACTGTTTAAAGAGGAATATGGTGATGACATTGACGGCCTCTCTCACTGTATTACAGACTACATCCGTTTCTCTGAGGACACCATAGTCCCTACCAAAACGGTCCGCTGCTTCTCAAACAACAAACCATGGATCAATAAAGACATTAAAGCTCTCCTCAACAGAAAGAACAGGGCCTTCATTACTAGGGATCGTGAGGAGCTCAAGGCTGTCCAAAATGAGTTAAAGAAGAAGCTGAGAGAGACCAAGAACAACTACAAGGACAGGATTGAGGCCAAGATGGGACAGAACAACTCAAAGGAGGTGTGGAATGGCATGAAGCAGATGACGGGCTGCAGCAGGCCAGAACCCAGAATTAAAGGAGACCCAGTATTTGCTGCTGAGTTGAACCTATTTTTCAATAGGTTTGACACATCCCCCGACCCAGTGAGCTCAAATAGTGGGTCTAGGTCTCCCCCCACCACCTCAGCCCCCATTCACACCTCTGCTGGAGACTCTGCTCTTCCTCTTCCTCCCATCAAGGTCCTGACTACCTCCCCCCCCTCTCTCAGCTCCTCATCAGCAGCTTCAAAGGACAGCCCACCCTCACCCCCCTGCTCCCTCCCTTCAGGTACCTGCATGACAATAGACAGTTCCCCACACCCCTCACTGTCCCACTCTCACTCTTACTACCAGCCAGGTACAAAGAGAACTCTCCAGACTCCACATCAGAAAAGCCAGTGGACCAGACAACAGGAGTCTTTCAGCACCTCTTCAACCTCTCCCTGAGGCTGATGAAGGTGCCTGACCTGTGGAAGACCTCCTGCATCGTCCTGATACCAAAGAAAGGTCGTCCCAGCGCTCTCAATGACTACAGACCTGTGGCACTCACGTCACATGTCATGAAGACATTTGAGAGGCTGGTTCTCCAGCACCTGAGGACCCTGCTCACTGCTTTCCAGGATCCATTGCAGTTTGCATATCAGAGGCACATTGGTGTGGAGGATGCTATCATCTTCTTGACCCATAAAGCCCTGTCACACCTGGAGACGAAGGGAAGCACTGTGAGAGGCATATTCTTTGACTTCTCCAGTGCTTTCAATACCATCCAGCCCTGCCTCCTGAGGGACAAACTGTTGGATATGCAGCTGCGCCCTGACATCTCAGCCTGGGTCTTCAACTACCTCACGGACCGGCCACAGTATGTCAGAGTCGACGGCTGTGTCTCTGATGTAGTGACGGGCAACACAGGAGTACCTCAAGGAACTGTTCTGGCGCCTTTTCTCTTCACTCTCTTCACATCAGACTTCAGGTTTAACTCTGGTTCCTGCCACCTCCAAAAGTTTTCAGACGACTCCTCCATTGTTGGGTGCATCACTGATGACGACGAGAAGGAGTACAGAGGACTGTTAGAGAGCTTCATCACATGGTGTGAAAGCAACCACCTGAAGCTCAACATCAGCAAAACAAAGGCGGTGGTAGTGGACTACCGGAAGAAAAAGAGGCCCCCTGCCTCAGTCATCATCCAGGGGGAGGAAGTGGAGAGGGTGGACTCATACAAGTACCTTGGGGTCCACATCAACAATAAACTGGACTGTTCTCACAACTCTGACGCCCTCTTCAGGAAGGGACAGAGCAGGATGTTCTTCCTGAGGAGATTCAGATCGTTCAGTGTCTGCAACAGAAGACCTTCTACCAGTCTGTGGTGGCCAGTGCCCTCTTCTTTGCTGTGGTGTGATGGTGGGGTGGCATAAAGACTGGTGAGGCAAACAGACTGAACAAGCTGGTGAGGAAGGCCCGCTCTGTAGTGGGTCTGGATCTGGACAGTTTGGAGACAGTGGGTGAGAGGAGGATGAAGGACAAAATCTTTTCCATCCTGGATAACTCCTCTCACCCTCTACATGGTGAGCTGTGGCAGATGGGCAGCTCCTTCAGCCAACGCCTCATCCCCCCCAGGTGCAAAACAGAGCGCTTCAGGCGCTCCTTTGTGCCCACTGCCATAAGACTGTACAACAGCAGCCTATGACAACAATAACAGTCCATCCTTGACACTAAACTTCACCCCCATAAAACACTACCCATATGACCTGCTTCATTATTATCATTGTATTATTGTATTATTATTATTACTTAGGTCAATATATATATACATATATACTGTACATTCTATATATTTATTATTATACTAGTCTATATTATATAACATTTCATTATATTACACTATATTGTTCATATTGCACTATATTATATTTTTACATTATATTATATAACTGCACTCTGCATTACTGTGGTACAACACTGCCTCTCTTCTCTGCTGTTTACATTACTTGCTGCTATTTATTTATCATACCAAGACACTTTAATCATCACTTGTCACTTTATCTTGTCATTCTCTTCAAATACTGTTTCAATTCTCAATTCCCCCAGTTAACTTCAACATTCATTTTTGTACTGTATATACCCCCTGTTTTTATTTTTTATTTTCATTTTTATTTATCTTATCTATTCTGTTTAATATGTATTTGAGCTTTCTTGTCTGTGCTGCTGTAACGCCCGAATTTCCCCTCTGGGGATCAATAAAGTATTATCCTATCCTATCCTATCCTATCCTATGGTATTTTGGAAGCAAAACTGGATCAGTGATTTGACAATGAAGCTGTCAACAAAATAGCCATCTGCTATCAGCTGGTAGAAGTGGTCCATCCAAACTGGGCGAATTCACTTCTCAAGGTGCACCACCAACATTCAATCCTTTGATTGCCAATACTTGGACCTAAAGTGACACACTCTGAACCTTTCTCATCCTCTTGCTTCACTGTAATGTGGGTATTCTCAGTACCGTGATCGAACCTGACTTTTTTGTGGACATACATTGTTTTCGGTCACAGGATCTATAAAATTACCTGCAATAATACGAGGGTCGCTGTTGGTTTTATATGCTTCTAGCCATATCATTTTCAGGAGAAAAACAACGTGACAGCCGGTTCCATTCACAGAGCGCTGGCTACGGATCTCTGACGTGCTCTGACCGGACCTGACTGTGAGTGGTTTTGAACTGAACGGACAATTATTTCTTTTGGACTCTTTTCATTTAATTTTTTGACCCAGAAAGACTGGGACTTTTTGTTTTTTAAACTGAACATTAAGGGCCTGAAAAAGGATAACTTTTGTTGATTGTTTGTTTTATTACTGGAAGAGTGAGAGACTGAAAATCTTTTGTTTTGATCAGAGTTGCTGGAAATATATTTTTGTGTTGTTGTTTTTTTTTTATGTTACCTAATACAAGAATGATTTATTGAAGTGAACTTGGGTGGCAGTTTCTGTTTCATTCTTATTATTTATTTATAAGGTGGTTTAGTTTAATACTTTTACATCCTTTGTGTTGGTTTTTTGACAATAAGTGTGGTGACTTAAAATAACAAACCAAAATGACTTTTGCCAGGGACAGCCTGACTGGCAACCCAGAAAACAAACAAATTAAATTAAAAGTCTTGCCACTAAAACCGTCACAGTACTTCCAACGTCAGTGTGTTCACATGATTTCAGTTCGGAAAGTCGGAATGATGTATCAAAAGCTAAAAATTGCGATGATGCTACGAAGAACATATGTGAAATTAAATGTAACTGTTAAAAGTTATATTTGAGAAAAAAGTTGATTTGCAATACCTGAATTTAAAAAAAATATATTAACATTAACAAAAAATATTTTTCCCCTGAAGTTAGCTTGTTAACCCCAAATCCTGCTTCTAACCCTAATATAAGAGACTGCGATTAACAGTCATACAAAGCTGGTTATCAGCCTAATAGGTAAACCCAGAGTTTCCAAGAGCCATTCACATAAATGGGGCAGTTAGCTTCATTTTTTCCTGCCGTAAGCAGGTCGTCATATCTAACTCTGAAGAAACTATTAATAATAAAAAGACGAAGTTTAAGACAAACATGCTCCCGAAGACTAAAGTTACACAGCTGCAGGAACAAATGCAGGATGGACAATTGGCAGATAAAATAAAAATCTGCGTGTATTAATGTGCATAGTGAGGCTTATAATATTTTTCCTGTCGTTATTTCACCTTAGAACTGACTAGAATAACTCCAGTTTTTTCCCTTAACTGAATGTGTTGCTCTGAGTCTTTCATTTTGCGAGTAGGCTATAACAGTTTGAGAAGTTATATTTCAGCGATAACTAACAGAGCGGCATGGAGAAACTGAACACTAAACTGCTCCGGAGCAGGTTTGTCAGTTTTTTGTGATTGTGGACCAGAGCAAGAAACAGTAGAACATGTTATTTTGTATTGTCAGAAATATAAATCCCAGAGAGAAAAGTTAAAGGAAAGGCTGACAAAATGTGGGCTTGAAATAATGAGTCTAAAATTGTGTTGAATAATGGGGAAGGGAAATATAAAGCCTTGTTTACATTTCTAAAACTGGAATAGTTAAGATAATTAAATTTGTTTTCTTAATTTATTGTTATTATTTTTGTTGTTGTTGCGTGTATTATTTTATTTTTTCCTTTTAATAGTAATAGGTATTCTGGTTCACACTCCAGCATAGTAGGTGGCGGTAATGCACCCTAAAAGCTAGTTGCCAGCCGCCAATAAACAAAAAGAAGAAGAAGTCTTGTAATAATTAAGCATCGCGATCCTTCTACCAGCTGGCCGAGGGCTATCCGACGAAATAAAAATTATCTTCTAGAACTTCGACAAGATTTATTAAAAAACTAAGCCTTAGAGAGGGACGTCTCTTGGATCAAACAACTGTGATCTAAGGTAGCTGCTCCCGTTCATAAACTCAGGTTGTTATGGAAGCTGTTTTGAACTACAAAACTGATGACTTGGAGGATTACTACGGGTTATTAGGATGTGATGAACTATCGACGGTAAGTGCTGAATCGTTTGTATTAGGATCTGCTTTTTTGTTGGGCCATATGCAGCAATGTTATCCGTAGCAGAAAAATAATGCTTCAAGAAATCAGAAATAGGAAAGGAGACATTTAAGCATTGTCATGAGAGACAGTGATATAGGCTAGCCTATCTAAATTATTAAGTAATTAGGTCATTCAGTTTCTAAATTGAAGGCTAATACATGTGTACAAGCTGAGTTGTACAAACACTCATTTGGCTCAATTACTAGGCTTGTAAGCATCCCTCCGAAAGATGGTCAACTGTTGATCTGATGATTTTAGTTTCTGGTTTATTTTTACAGCACTCAACGTTCACATAAACCACTTAAAACCACCATGAGAGATTAAAACTTCAACTTTCACCGTTCCTTTTAGCTGTTTACCTTTTCTTATTACCTTATCACGTTCATTTCTCAAAGTCAAGTTACCTTAACAATATTCAAAACCGGAAGTTCCTTCAAAATAAAAGTCAAATTTTAACCAAACTGGAAGCAAATTAACCTTAGCTTGACACTGTCTAAAATAGAAAATAAAAGCAAGACAAATATCACTCTTGAGAAAGTCTCCCATTTTTTAGCAAACCTTAACTGGGTTACTTACACTCCCACCAAAATTATGAATTTTCATTTACATTAACATGCATAAAGGAATAATTTTCACATGAGATAACATTGTGTTCCTTTTACAATCTGTATCTTAAGAAGCTTCTAACAGTAGAACACTTCTGCACTGGACACTAACACTGTAAATTTACCACTACGCTCACCCTTCTTGTTTAGTCTCTTATCTCCAACTGAGATTTTCACCCTTCCTTCCTTAACACTGACAGTCGCTAAGACCTTTGCAAGTCTCCATTCTCCAGTGGGGGCAGTGCTGGGCTGGATTTTATATTGATCAGATTATTTAGGGTCAGTGGTTCAGGGCTATCAGGGCTGTTTAAGTTATCCACAGTGAGGGGTCAACTGTTGACTATGGCCATGGCTTCAGAGAAGTGTGCATAGTGAAGCATCATTGAGTCTGCCATGGAAAGGTGACAGAGTAGAGTTTAAAACACTCCTATCAGTTTTTATCTGGCGCTCCCACACACCGCCAGCATGACTAGAGTGTGGCGCATTCATGACAAAGTCACACTGCTTTTGTGACAAAAATGTACTTAGGGCCAGATTTACTAAGTTCCCAAGTGAAGAGTACTAAATTGCTTGTTCACTCCAAAAATTTGCACATTTGGTTGGTGGGCGTTTTTTTTATTTTTTAAAAATATATAACATCTGTGATATGTAACGTGCATAATATAGGCTATAATAAAAACAATTAAAATACTTTTAGTTTAAAAAACCTGGTCAGACCATACAATCGCTACAATGTAGCCTAGTGTTGTGTCTTAAAAGAAGCAGCTCCTGGAGCGGACCGGAGGATACCAGCCGGACCCCACCTGAAATTATCCCAGATCGTGGAGCGAGTGACTTCTTTCATCGGTTCAGCCTCAATATCAGGCACAAGTGGTGCAGGCGAACCTGCATCTGTGTCGGATAACGTCGGCTGCACTGGCAGCTCGCCATTAATGAGACTTTAAAAGACAAGAGAAACCTGAAACGTCCTGCATCACATGAATAAAGTGTTTGATCAAACGCTGTGTAATGTGCACTTCTCATCCGATTAGCCTTCTTTCCAAACATAAGAATTTAACACTTACATAAAAGAAAGTCCTGACTCCGTCTTACAGCCCCCGGATTTATTTATTCGTTATTATGTCACATGTAGTCTGGCCTATGTACTTCTGCTGTGCGCAATTACGCATGTGGCACATCAGCGTATTTATTATTTTAATCTCCGGACATACTGATTAATTATGATCTAATGTTAATGTTCTGTATTCCTAAATATTTCATATTTCCGAGGCTAAAAGTTGTATTTAGTATCCTCTGGAAGTCTGTCTACTTTAAAGTAAGTGTTTTTAGTTTTTCTGTTTTCATTTGTCTCAGTATTTTCTGCAGTGATATTCCTGTGCGCTGAATGTTTAACATGTATTTACTGAAAGCAGCCTCTTTAATCTTTAAAGTAAATCGATTAAACAAACAAAAATTTATCAAATAAAACACACAACTTAATAAATCACCTGACAGCTCGTGCTGCTCAGCATTATTTAAAAAGCAATATAGCCTACAGCAGGGGTGCCCAACCTTTTTTTAAACCAAGATCTACTTTTAAAGTTGCCAGTCTGCAGAGATCTACCAGTCCACATAGTGAGCCGTAGCCTTTACCGACAGCCAAATGCATTTAATACTCACACAACAAACAGAAAATAATTTCAGATATAATAAATGAGAGTTCTGTAAAAAATAATGCACATTTTTTAAACTCTTATTTTAGGGTAGGCTACATTTTAATATTACGTTTGTATTTATATCAAATATGTTTTTCCCTTAATTTAGTTCACAACAAACAACTTTAATCTGTGTGGAGATGTTCACAGACTACAGCAGGCTGCTGTGAGATGATGTTGCTTTTGTTAAATTAGCTGCAGACACGGTGAGAGTGAACGGAGTAAAGTTGAACCGACCGTTTGACGGATCACGTGTGTTCACGCCTCGGTCCGTACGGATCACGGATCAACTGTGTGCTGTAGCACTAAAAGTAAAAAGGTTTGCGTGGTGGCTGGCGCTCCTGTGCGTGCGTGCGTGCGTGTGTGTGTGTGTGTCTCGTGCCCCGCGATGCTCACAGTCATGACAGCAGAGAGGAGCAGAGAAAAGTAGCTGCAGCTACATCAAATGCGCTTAATACTCGTTGCATAGTTTCTATATATGACTTTTTGGTAAAACATTTAGCCCCCCCCGGTTTTACCTGCACGTCCTTGCGCATGCCTGCTCATGCATGCACGCAGCAATTTCATGAATAAATGAAAAAAGTGTGTGTGTGTGTGTGTGTGTGTGTGTGTGTGTGTGTGTGTGTGTGTGTGTGTGTGTGTGTGTGTGTGTGTGTGTGTGTGTGTGTGTGTGTGTGTGTGTGTGTGTGTGTGTGTGTGTGTGTGTGTGTGTGTGTGTGTGTGTGTGTGTACAAGCCTATCAACTTTTTTAAGTTAGCAGTACTGTTCGGGTTTACAGTGTAGTGCTCGCTCCAGCTGCATTTTTTTGAATGTTAAATCCTTTGTCTTGGTATCGACTGCACACTCTGATGGCGGTATGCTTTGTAGCACAGTTTGGTGAATATTTGTGAAGACGAAGACCACCTTTGGCACATATCTCTCGTGTCTCTTGTGCCAGCTGAATGGCATTTTCAACAGTGTCTGTGCTTGTGACTCCATCATCCACACAAAAGTCTCTTTCAACAAACAGGGAACCTACTGGATGTGAGTTTTCTTTGTCTAGGTGTTTCAGCCTATAGTTTGCACAGCCAGGGGAAGACACTGTACAGAAGAGATGCACGCTATATCTGCATGCATTCTATGCTGTTGTTGGTGTGTGCTCATATCGCCATTTCTCCACCAGGGGAACCGTAGGTAGTTACTGTTGTTCTCCGGTACATGAAACTGGTGAAACATTTTCTCTATGTCACAAGAGCAATTGGATGCTGTCTGAACCTGAGGAGGACGCCTGTCAGGTTAAGATAAACTTTATTGATCCCCCGTGGGGGAAATTTGTGCATTACAGCAGCTCAAGAAAACAGGACGGGAATATAATTATTAAAAATAAAAATAGAAGTTAAAAATCAAATCAAACATATTTACATCAGTTAAATAAAAGAAATACAATAATGGAAAATTACACAGTAACTACACTGGAAAGAGTTATTGTTATTAAAAAAAACACAGTGTGTAGCATGAGGTGGTGATGCTGTTAAAGAGTCCAATTAAACAGTCTGATGGCAGATGGAATGAAAGACCTGCGGTAGCGCTCTGTCTTGCAGGGTGGGTGTCTCAGTCTGCTGCTGAAGGAGCTGCTCAGGGCCCCCACAGTGTCATGCAGGGGGTGAGAGGGGTTGTCCATGATGGATGTCAGCTTCACTAACATCCTCCTCTCATCCACCTCCTCTACAGAGTCCAGAGAACAGTCCAAGACAGAACTGGCCCTCCTGACCAGTCTGTTCAGTCTCTTCCTGTCTCTCTCTGTGCTCCCTCCTCCCCAGCAGACCACTGCATAGAAAAGTGCTGACGCCACCACAGTGTCATAAAAAGTACGTAGCAGAGTCCTGCCCACTCCCAAGGATCTCAGTCGCCTCAGCAGGTGAAGTCGACATTGGCCCTTCTTGTACAGGACGTCGTGTTGTGTGACCAGTCCAGTTTATTGTTGAGGTGAACACCCAGGTATTTGTACGTTTCCACCCTCTTGATGTCCAAGCCCTGGATGTTCACATGTCGACAAAGTCCATGATGACCTGCCTGTACTCCTGTTTGCTCCCCTTAGACACACACCCCATGATGGCTGTGTCATTGGAGAACTTCTGCAGGTGGCAGCTCCCAGAGTTGTAGCAGAAGTCCGAGGTGTACAGGGTGAAGAGAAAAGGGGAGAGAACTGTCCCCTGCGGGGCCCCTGTACTGCAGACCACCATGTCAGACTCACAGTCCTGAAGCCTCACGTACTGTGGTCTGTTGGTGAGGTAGCCCGTTGTCCATGCAGCCAGGTGACAGTCCACTCCCCTGAGCAGTGCAGGCTGGATGGTGTTAAAGGCACTGGAGAAGTCAATGAACATGACCCTCACAGTGCTGCCGGTGTTCTCCAGGTGAGTCCAGGATCTCACAAGATTTGAAGTCACCAGGCGGTGGAGGTTGTTGAGGGTGAGCCTCTCCATGGTCTTCATCAGGTGAGAGGTGAGGGCCACAAGTCTGAAGTAGGCTCCCTGCGGTGAGATGTCTTTGGGACTGGCACCACGCAGGATGTCTTCCACAGAGTCAGTACCCTCCCCAGTCTCAGGCTCAGGTTGAAGATGTGCAGAAGAACCTCACAGAGCTGGTCTGCACAGTCCTTCAGGAGTCTGGAGCT